TTGGCTTGGAAGAAAAAGCAGATACCCCAGATTAAGAGTAAGATGTGGCTGCGCCTGAGCTATACATGTGAATTGAGCTGGAGTCTGCGAAGAGATTCTGTCTGAAGCCGCTTGTGTCTGGGAGAGAGCTCTGTGCACTTCAGTAACATTCAGAAGGGAGTTCTGCTCGTTAGGTCTACTCACGCCTGGCAGATGTATTTACCCACAGTAAACCTGTGTGCATAGTCATCTCTCTGATGATCTATAATTTCCGTGCTCCAGTGACAAAGAAGCTTGGGACTAGGTATGGTTGCAAAGTGCCACACGTGTGTTAAAGACTAAAAGTGAAACATATTCGTTTAAAAAAAAAGTCAAAAGAAAAACCAATTTAAAACAAAAAACGAAAAGACAGGGTCTTTGCTGTGTAGCCCAGTCTGACCTTGGCCCTGGGCATATGTCATTCCACCAAGTTGGTCCATCTCATTGATGACAACATGTCTGTTTTGTTTTGTGACTAGGTCTTACTCTGTCACCCCGTATATAGCCCAGGCTTGCCCCCAAATTCCCAGCAATCCTCCTACATTAGCCTCACAGGTGCTGGGATAACAGGCATGAACCACCAAGCCCGGCTTGTTCCTTTCTGAGCTTTGCATTTGAAAAGCCTTCTCAAGGGCTTTTTCTTTCTGTTTCCTTCCTCTTCTTTTCTTTTCTTGTCTTTTCTTTTCCTGTTCTTCCTCCCCCACCCTCTCTTTCTTCATCTATTTCTAAAAATGAGATTTCTTCAGCCAAGGCCCTCCAAGTTACATCTGGAATCTGGTTGGAACCTTTCTGGCCACTTCCTGTTGAAGAGATGTCGTGTCTATTTTGGTCTAATTTCATTTCTGTCAGAGCTCTAGCCCTTTTGGGACTTCAGTTTTCCTGAAACCATCCTACTGGTGGAGACTCCCTCTGTTTACTCTTTCCTTTCCCATGGAAACCACTCTATCTTGCTCTAATAAAGGAACTTGTGCCCAGGACCAGGGTTAGGTCACCTCAGCTCCTCATCACAAATGTAATCTTAGGGAAAGACCCATCCTTGTGCTCCACAGATTTTTTTTTTTTTCCGTGAAACGGAAAAACAAGCTTCCATTTTCGCTATTTCCCTAAATAAAATGTGTCATTGTATGGAGGTCACTGTTAATTTTCTGAAGTCTCTGCTACACCTGCAGATCCTAGCCCATCCATTATAGCAAAAGGAAGACTCTCCAAGAACTGCCCTACAGGACTTTATTTGTTTGTTTTATCAGTAAGAGGAATATTAAATTAGTAAAAACACTCTCATGGCTTTCAAACACACATTATTCCAAGATACACAGTGGAAAATAAATGTGCCTCCAGTTTTCCAGTTCCTTTCTCTAGGGAATATAGTTCCCTATGAGTTTTTGTTTTGTTTTTTTGTTTTGTTTTGTTTTTTGTTGTTCTTTGTTTTTTTGTTTGTTTTGGTTTTTTGTTTTGTATTTGTTTGGATTGTGTGTGTGTGTGTGTGTGTGTGTGTGTGTGTAAAATTTCACTTGGTAGCCCAGTGAATTAAACTCCTAATCCTCCTGTTACAACCTCCTAAGTGCTGTCATAAAGGTTTGCTTCACCCATCACACTCAGATGAGATACTTTGTGTTCCCTTCTTGGCTTTGCTTTTGCGATTTGTTGTTTGTATACAAATGTGTGATGATTTATTTAACTTCCTTTCTAATTGTTTAAAGTTCATTCTCAGTTCAACAGGTTGAAAGACATAGGGCATACTTCCAGAACAAATTCCTGGAACTGCTATGTCCAAAAACAACACCAAAACAAAATTTATATGTCGTATAAATCTACATACTTTCCCTTGGCCTGAATGACTGTCTCATTGCATCCTAAGTGACAGTAGCTAGGCTAGTGTCTGCTTCAATCAACCTCGTGGCCTTTTGACTTGATCTTTTCCATCAAATGACATTACAACCGTGAGTACAACTCCCCAGGCCCACCAACTCAGGAGCCCATACAATGGCAGCATGCCCACCTCACCACCAGCTGTCCCCCACCCTTGATTCATTACTGACACCCCATCTAGAGTGACATCATTCTGGAGAACTTCTCCAGCACTAAGCCCTGTATTGGGTCTTGGCCACTAGCTTTGGAATGACTCAGTAATGGTTTGTAGACACTTGTGTGCCAAGGGTGAAATGAAGGAAGGGTTGAAAAGGGCAAAGAGAGTAATCCATATTTTAGCTATGGGTATAAACCAAAGGATCTTGGATTTCATGTTGTCTCCACAGCTATCAAGCCACTTGCTTGAGTCTCTGGGTCTCTTGGCATTGTGCATGGAGTGAGGAAGTTGGCCTAAATTCTTTTGCAGGATCTTTCCTCCTTAGAGAATCTAAAGACTCAGATGCAATCTAGAGCAGAGAATGCTTGCCTACCCAGTGTAAGCAAGGGGTACACAAATCAGGACATGGCAAGAGCCAGTGGGAGGAGCAACTGAGAAGGGCTCTAGACAGTGATGTTTCAGCCAAGCAGGCTAGAGGCTGGTTCACACTGGTGATTTCTTTTTTTTTTTTAAGGTTTATTTATTTATTTCATGTATATGAGTACACGGTAGCTGTCTTCAGACACATCAGAAGAGGACATTAGATCCCATTACAGATGGTTGTGAGCCACCGTGTGGTTGCTGGGAATTGAACTCAGGGCCTATAGGACGAACAGTCAGTGTTCTTAACTGCTGAGCCATCTCTCCAGCCCCACACTGGTGATTTCTATGGTTTGATTGCGCCCCCATACAGCATGTCAAACTACCAACACAGCATTGTTGGAGTTGAGAAGAAAGGCCCAGAGAGATTGTGGGGACCCAGCAAATCACCAGTTAATAGTTTAAAGAAATGGCTTCCTTCACATCATCCCATGATGAAAGAACTTCACACAAAACGATAGGTCTGAAGTAGGTGTGGAAGGCAGGCACTGCACTGGGTCTCCTATAGTTACTGACAGGAACTCATTGAAGCTAGTGTAAAGAGAGGGTAAGAACAAGAGAATAGGACTTCTATCACAACTATTACAAGTATCAGAACAAAGGCTTTAATAAAGTAGCCATGGCACTCTGTCCCTTGTCTGACTCCAGTCCTTCCGTGGGGATGTCACTGTCTCTTGTCATAAGCAGGTTCTTTCCAAGTGGCATGAAGCTATGGCTCAAGGAAAACTAAGACTATATCTCTGAAGTTAATACTTCAGAAGAAAATTGGTACCTTTCATGAAGATCACATGAGAGGGTGAATTGGCTCACCCGGACTTGTGTCTACGTTGTAGGCATGACCAGTCCGAGACCCACTGATCTCCACACACAAGCATCCACACATAATAAATAAATAAATAAATAAATAAATAAATAAATAAATAAATGTAAAGTAATCTTTTAATTTGTTGAATAAACATTGAGTCCACTAACATATCTTTCTAGTATTCCTTATTTTGTATTATATAACATATAATGCTATATATATATGTGTATATATTATGATCATTACAAATTCTAAATTTATGTAATATCAATACTGATCTCTGCATAGCTTCATGGCTTCCTTAAGTGCCTTACGGATGAGTGTCACAGCTAAGGGAAGGGAGGCACGTACAGGTGAGGTCATTATTATTCCTCCGACATCTCTGAAAGTGAAATACTGTCTATGCACTCCACTGACTTGTCTAGGGTGCTGGAATCAGCATTGGACTTTGAAGGCATTTCTGCATTAAAATTCTGACCGTAAAGTCTGCATCTTGTGACAGCTGTTAGCCAGATGCTCCTGCTGCCCAGTGGAATACTAGAAGCTAGAAGAAGGGAGCAGAGGAAGGAAGGGAGAGAAGCTAATAACAGGCCTTTGGGGTTTCTTTTTCTATTATCTGCTTGTTATCTAACTGAGATCTCTGTGATGTCTTGGGGTCTAAGATCATCTAGTGGGCTCGCTCTCTCTCTCTCTCTCTCTCTCTCTCTCTCTCTCTCTCTCTCTCTC